TATGCAATTGTTGGTTTTCGAAAATTTGTTGAAGAAAATCCAGTTACGGAAGATCTCTCCGAGGAAAATGATTGATTTTTGTTATTCATTGACTGTTTCATAGACATAGTTCAAATGAATTTCGATAAGTGATTCAATTGTTTTGTGAGCAGTTAGAGCCATAAAGACATTGTTATGGAGATGTGATAAATGTTTGGTAATATATAAAAACGGATGATTCATTTGAAGTGTCGCATATCATCCAAAATATGTAAACTAAACCAATTTTTGTATCTTAAAAACACAGCAATAATTAGGCTTCTGATTAGTATGGCCAGCGATGAATGTACGTTACTTGACTGTGTCAATGAAATCATTAGTCTTGTCAACAGTAAGCAAAATTTCCGAAACTTCCTTGCCGAATTATTTAATTGAATTGCTAGAGGATTTGTAAGTTGATCAATTATCACAAATTGCAACAAGAGATCTGAAACAAAATGAATTACGCGATCTATCGTGTCTATTTTACCTTATCACTAATATCAGTTCCCTTGTTCATAAGATTTTCAGAATCCTTAATGTAAATTACAAAATAACAACACATGATTCTGTTGGTAATATTGCTGGCTTAGCACATTGAACTTATTTTCTCTGATAATACTGAAAAAGTGCTACTCTATAGGAGGAAGTGTTTCTCGAAGATTCACTTGATCACTTGATGATGACGCTACTACACGTGAAATACTGGGATAGAGTACTTTCTTTTGAAATAGATTTGTAACTACAATTGGTGCTCAGTATAACTTAGTCAATTTGATCAGTAGGTGTGCTTGATGAATGTCTTGTGCAGAGCTCTATGCCTTTATGCTTTACCGTAGTTGATCGCCGATTCCTGAAATCACTATTGGATGAGTTACTAGAGGTCAAGTTCACAGGTAAGCAAATAACTGAAAGAAAAACAAAAATCTTCAGAAAATTCCAAAGACTGATAGTACAAATGACTTTTTATTTATTTATTCATTTTTTCCGGCAATGAAGGAACAAAGTTTTGCGTTTTCATTATCAATATATACCTTTCATTTAATCCAATGCCAAGATCTCTTATCAGTGTCTCAGATTCAGATTCATTAAAAAGTAGATCTGTTCATTATTTTTTAGCCGAAACAATGTCGAGTACAGTATTAAAAATTGAAGTGTGAATAAAAAAATTAAGAGAATGGATGCTAATTCCAGGTGTTTGAAACCTTCAGAACACCGAAAAACTCCTTGTGATTTTCATTTATTTTGCCATAAACTACATTGATCTGTTTGAGTTTAATTGAAAAGAATGAATATGATGTATGGGAATAGGAAGAATAGCTTTAAAAAAAAAGTATAATTGAGATGGTTGTAACGAAATTAATACTAAAATAGGGATAAATGAGAATTTTTTCAAAAAGAAAAGAGATAAATAATATTTGTTTCTTAGGATGAAACCAATTAATCGAAGTAAAATGAGGGGAAAATTACGAAATAATTGGGAAAAATAAATTATGCAAATGAGCATACTTACATGCATTGTCACTTTTCTTCATCCTATTCAGTAAAATTCATAGGTGATGACTAGTAAAGAACGAAAAAAAAATAAGAAAAATTTCACAATCATACAATGAAATTCGATGTTTTAATAGAGAATTATTGATTGCTTTTCTAATATTGGACATTGATTTTAGATCGAAAAAAATCTCAATGTTATGGCTAAAAATCGATAACTGCATGTTAAAGCATACGTCTCAAATTTCTTATCATATATGAACCATTTGAGAGGTAGGGAGGATGTTGATATAATTTTTCTAAGAATGATCGAAATTGATTTAATATGACGTTTTTCGATTCTCCGTGTTGTTCCGTTAATCGTTGTTGCATTTCATTCGCGTATTCTGCCAAGGCTTACATTCTTGTTAGTGCTTGTTCACCTTGTTGCATTTCTTATGGATCCTGTAAATCAGATGATTTCCGGATAACAGTAATGCATGCACAAAGAAGGTGAGCTTTAGTGTTTAAGTAAAACATGTCAAATCAATCTTACTTTAAGTCATTATGAGTAAGTGACCTTTAATAGGTGACAAAATTTATTTTAAAACTCATTACAATATGGTTTGGATGAAAAAATAAAATTGTTATAAGGTTTAGATTCAGAAGTTTGTTATCAAATATATCATTGTGGGTACATGTGTTATGAATGTATATGTGTGTATAAGTGTGTATATGTGTGTGTGTGTGTGTGTGTGTGTGTGTGTTGTGTGTGTGTGTGTATGTGTGTGTGTGTGTGTGTATATGTGTGTGTACATATATCATATAAATTTGATTGAACGATTAATATTTAATTATGTAGAAATAATTTTTATGTTTTTCGAAAATTATCATCCATTTCCATTTTTAGCAATTAAATTTTGAACATATTTTCGATCATTTACTACTTTTCTTCTCTTCCATTTCCATTTCAATGATCTTTTTTTTCTTTTTTTAATAATTTCAATTTTCCAAAACCACAAAATGAAATCAATTTTTTATTTTGTTATGTTAGGGTAAGGGAGAATGTATCACTCACTCTCCTATGCCTCACTTATTCATTTCACATGCAATAAAATTTAAAACTGGGAGCAAATTTCATCTAATACCTTTAAACAAGCCTCCCCAAAAACTAGTTAATGGATAAGAATGACTTATTTAATTTTGTCTATCATGAGATTGCCATTTGTTTTGTTTTGATTAAATTCGTCACTTCTTCCTCCATCCATTACCTTCTATGTGACACGTACATACACACATGAACACACATGCACATACACACACACACACACACACACACACACATACACACATATACATACATGTACCCTTTCATTCATCGGTCTTTCGTATCATAATCATTAAAATTAAAACAAAATTGAGAAATAATTTACAGTCATTTAAACATTTTTTATTTATCTAATTTCATCATTTATTATACAAAATTAAACTATAAAATGTAATTTTTATCGATAGATTTACATATTTCATTCTATATATATTATCATATGCTACTGAATAGATTAAGGAATGAAAAAGAAATCGAATTAAGATTTTTGTAATGAAAGAAATGAAATGTGATAACGAATTAAAGATAAAAGAAGGAAAAATTGACAGGTATGAAAGTCAACCATACCTCTTTTTCAGACTTTTCCCTCCCTTTTCTTTTTTCCTCTGTTCTGTCCCTATTTTTAATGTTATCACTTTTTTTTTGATGATAAATTGATTAATATACAATGTGTTATTTGTAATATAGTACTACTCATCAATAATACAATTTGATAATAAAGTTAATACTTTAAATACCAAACGAATCTATCGATATTACCATTCAGCTTCCAAATACAAAAGTGTGTTTATGGCAATTTTCTGGTGTTTAATTATTGGAGTACGCATAGAATGATTATCCAGGTAATGATACCTAGTTTATATGATGTATAAACTACAAACTGTCCTGTCATGATGATCTCCCGGTGTTCGATTTATTAAAATAATTGTTAGACTATCCGAGAACTCCTTTCAAGGATTTTCGTTTTCCTCTTCATTTTCTCTGACAAAGATTCAAATGATAATTTTATTAGGGAAAAAATATATTGTAATATCTTACATTTTTATTCTTTGATCTATTACAAGTGTTCAATGAATTTTGATTGATTTTTTTTTTTTATTGTTGAACTTTCTTCCTTTTTTAGACTTTTTATGAAATTAAAATTTGAAACTAAAAATTTTAAACTGTAAAAGGAAAAAATCTTAAAAGTAAAAAGTTTCAGTTAAAATTTCCTCCTTTTTTTCCTTATTTCAAATAGATACCTCAAATTTTTTCATCTTTTTACGATTTAAAAAATGTGTGTGACAAGTAGTGCGACAAGTTAGAAAGAGACAGCATCTACTGCAAACAATATTGGTAAAACATTAACTAACGATAAAAAAAAAATTTGTTGGCGGAATGACATTGAAGTGATGATACGATGATATTTAGCACAGATCGAGAACGGAACATATTCTTGTTCTTTCTATCGATCAAATTCATTTATACCATTTTTCTTCATTTCTTCTTCCTTTCTTCTTCTCCTCTCTCCCTCTCCCTCTCTCTCTCTTCTTTTTCTTCTTCTTACATTGATACACTTTCAACTTTTATTTTCTTTCTTTTAAGTAAAAAAAAAAAAAAAAGAAATACAAATATCTAATTTAAGTAATAAATAATAAATATGTATAATTTCTGTTCAAAACTGATAAAACC